TCGCGAAATCCAAGTGCACGGCGAAAACTGCATTGAGTGCGTTAAAGCATGTAAAAACTTGAAACCCCTTTCAAATCATAATACCCTAGGGAAACTCCCAACGTTCAAAGAACCAAACCAAGAAATGGAATTAGATTTCGCCGGTCCCTTAAAACTAGTATGGGGAACAAAAAAATACATATTGGTATGCGTGGATAGATTTTCAAAATTCCCTTCTGCTCAGATAACATCCAGCACATCGGCAAAATCCATCATAAACTTTCTTAGCAAATACATAGCTCTACATGGGGTACCTAGAACTATCAGAACAGATCAGGGATCTGGTTTTATCTCCAAGCAAGTTAGAGAATTTAGCTATGAACATAACATAAAGGTTATAATTAGCCCAGTGGGTGACCATAGAGCCACTGGATTAGTTGAGCGCTTAATCAGAACCATTAAGGAAAGGCTCTTGGTTATGGCACAAGAACGCCCAAAAACATCACTAGAATCGGCATTACTGAAGATAATAAAATGCCTAAGCACGGTAACACAACAGTCGCTTAACTGCTCCCCCTTCGAAGCCCACTTTGGTAGATCCCCAAATACCATCTGGCATAATTTAGTCAAGTCACCTTCCTCAAATAACCTTGATTGGAGCAAAACCTTGTTATGCATAGATAAGGGCCGAAAACTCATGAGTCGAGAAAGAAGACACGACTGAGACGCCCCTGAGGACATTGAAGACGGAGATCTGGATGAGAACTCATCATCTTATGACAATATCTCTAATGCAGTGAGATACGTCCCAACCAGCGCTGGCTCCCCAGTAAAAGTGCTCTCACGTGCAGAAAAACGAGATGCTTTGGGCATAAAAAATTCAGTTCTGAACAACCCGCCGGGTAAGACTACTATTTATAGAAAAGTTCAAGTTAGATTGAAGAGTGAACCATTCTATAGAGAACTCAAGGATGAAATTGTAAGAGAGTCAGACCACACAGTACCTTAAAAAACGGAAAAATAATACGTAAATCTGATTTAGCTATCAAAAACAACTTGCTCAGAAGAAACCCAGCCCGAGAAAAAGAGACCAACTAGTCAAATTTTACGCAACAAAGGGACTGAGGAAGACTGCGAAACCACAAAGAAACGTCGGCTTTAAAAATTCAAGAGTGACGCAAAAGAAACGGAATCTCCAGTCAAGATTCGAAGAGCTAGATATAGCGAGGCAGAACGCGGCCATGAATAGCTCCAGAGAGACACTCCTTAGAGAGGAGGAAGAACAGCGGAAAAGACTAAGATTCCCCATAGGCCTCGAAAGCGACCATGAGTCAAGCTCGTCGGGCAAACCCGACCATCATAGAATCCGCGAAAAAGAACTCCAAGCGACGAATTACCCGACAGAAGACGAATCAGACGACAATTCCAGCGACCTAATCTCGTTAAAAGAGCTAAAGACCAAAACCCTAAACGAAAAGACATTAGAACATTCATCACTAGACCGAATAGATCCTAAAGCCGAGATCACGAATCAGACCGAACAGAAAGTAGAAAAGGCTGAGATTCCGCTGATTGATCTCGATTCAGGTGACAATAGTGCAGACCCACATATAACCCCGCAGCTAATCTTCCTGGACAGCCTCGATGAAGTTGAGAAAATAAACCAAGAAGTACCGATCTCTCCGGAAAATCCTAGAACGGAACTAACTGAAAAGAGTGCTGAGCCGGCTACCACGACAGAATTGGAGAAACAGCTACAAGATTTTGCCCCTATCAATACTAAACCGAAATTGTCCGGTGCAGTTTCTAATGCAGTGAGATACGTCCCAACCAGCGCTGGCTCCCCAGTAAAAGTGCTCTCACGTGCAGAAAAACGAGATGCTTTGGGCATAAAAAACTCAGTTCTGAACAACCCGCCGGGTAAGACTACTATTTATAGAAAAGTTCAAGTTAGATTGAAGAGTGAACCATTCTATAGTGAACTCAAGGATGAAATTGTAAGAGAGTCAGACCACACAGTACCTTAAAAAACGGAAAAATAATACGTAAATCTGATTTAGCTATCAAAAAACAACTTGCTCAGAAGAAATCCAGCCCGAGAAAAAGAGACCAACTAGTCAAATTTTACGCAACAAAGGGACTGAGGAAGACTGCGAAACCACAAAGAAACGTCGGCTTTAAAAATTCAAGAGTGACGCAAAAGAAACGGAATCTCCAGTCAAGATTCGAAGAGCTAGATATAGCGAGGCAGAACGCGGCCATGAATAGCTCCAGAGAGACACTCCTTAGAGAGGAGGAAGAACAGCGGAAAAGACTAAGATTCCCTATAGGCCTCGAAAGCGACCATGAGTCAAGCCCGTCGGGCAAACCCGACCATCATAGAATCCGCGAAAAAGAACTCCAAGCGACGAATTACCCGACTGAAGACGAATCAGACGACAATGCCAGCGACCTAATCTCGTTAAAAGAGCTAAAGACCAAAACCCTAAACGAAAAGACATTAGAACATTTATCACTAGACCGAATAGATCCTAAAGCCGAAATCACGAATCAGACCGAACAGAAAGTAGAAAAGGCTGAGATTCCGCTGATTGATCTCGATTCAGGTGACAATAGTGCAGACCCACATATAACCCCGCAGCTAATCTTCCTGGACAGCCTCGATGAAGTTGAGAAAATAAACCAAGAAGTACCGATCTCTCCGGAAATACTAGAACGGAACTAACTGAAAAGAGTGCTGAGCCGGCTACCACGACAGAATTGGAGAAACAGCTACAAGATTTTGCCCCTATCAATACTAAACCGAAATTTTCCGGTACAGCTAAGAGAAAAGCGTCATCACCGGTGAAATCACCGCCCTCCAAGAAACTTCCCGATATTTATGCACGACATAACACTAGACCCATGCGAGCTAGAAAACCCCCAACGATGCTGGGTGAGAGAGTGTTTACAAGCGTAATAGATATATCGGACGAGAATCCAGACGAACCAACACCCAATCAAATTCACACTCCCTCAGCTTACCTAACGATAGAAGCAACCTCTATTGAAATGGAGAGCCACCAAATCGACGTGGTAGATTTAACAACCGTGACATCACCCTCATCATCTCATCCGACAACAGTTTATTTAGTGGAAGAAATTTGTTGAGTCTCCGAGCGGTATAAAGTCCTCTGGAACAGCCAGACAAATTACACCACGCAAGAAGGTTAAATTCAGACCCGAGATCTGTACTACCCAATTCCACCCATCGGGCCTACCCTCTGAAGCTTCTGAACCAACATCTTCACCAATCGTACTCGATCCGGACTGGCTAAACACTCCTTCTATCATTTCGGCAATGGAACTCTTGGGACGACCAATGACGCTTGAGGAACTAAGGAGATGGACGATCAATAGAGCTACAAATCGGGACGCAGTTTAGATGAATTAAAAATTTAGTAACCTCGCCATATAAACTCAAAATTTTAGAAATCTCACATTGAAAAACTCTATATTTCTAGTATTTTTGTGGTGATATAACCTTGCCTAACATTATATCGCAGTTAGAGCTGAAAAGTTACCCCTAGTGCTGACCTAATACGTTACGATTGGATTATTTCTGAACCACTTAAAATTTTAATCTTGAGTTATTTCACAACACAATTAGTCAATGCTAAATCTTCTTCTCACCCATTGGGTAATACCACGGGATAAACTTTCGATCAATCCCTTTTGGTGCTATCTTCTCGCCCAACGGGCCCAATTGTGGGGCTTTTCCGGACCAGCACACCCACTTATTCATCCCGGTGTCTGTTCATTCCTTTTGCGTGGCGAAAGTATATGTTAAGTAATTTTTCGCGGGGAATGTCAAATGTGATAGTTTATGTTGATTTTATAACCTTTGAGTTATATTTAGCTGTGACCTCTTAACACGCTAATTTAAAATAGCTGCCAAAAGCGCAACGGCTTTTGGTAGACTGAGAGTTTGTTCATTGATACTTTTTGATATGCAACTAATCCTCCGAAACTAATTCAACCTTTTTTAACATCTCTTAACTTAGCTTAGATACCTCAGTCTTTTATTTAGTCTTAAATAAAAGCCTACAACTAATTTGTAGGAATCTTAGCCACACCGTCTTAAACTAGTCTTAGTTTAAGTTTTATCAATTCTAATCACAGACAGTTTTGTCCTAATTTTTTAACAAGGTCGGGTCGAGTGATATAACATTTGAAATCTTTTCAGTTGTGATTCGATGTACATATAAAAATTTAGAATTAACTCTCAATGCATGATAACAAAATTTTCTTCTTTTTCACCGTCATAAAATTTAAAAGAATTTTAAATTTGCTCTAAATTTTTGACTCTTTGTTTTAAATTTCGTGAAAGATGTTTCCTATTTTTGAGGGCGGGGTAATCACATCTTGTTTTTTTGGTTTCCAGTTGTTTCTTCCTTGTTTGCTTCGATTTAACTTTGCTCTTAGTTATTCCTATGTTTCCCAATGGGCTCTTTTCCTTTTCCTCTTCCTTCACCCCCCCCCCCCCCCCCACCTTTCAAATTTTCTTTCTTTCTAATAGTTGTTCTACATGTAAATTTTGAAGAGCAAATCTGCCCACAATTGTTGATTTATTCACTATGACAAAGTTCGTTGCAGTATGACAGCGTTAAATCAGTTTTTGAATTTCGAAATTAGAAAAAAAAGGGGAAAGAATAGAGCCTCCTAATGCAGTGGGGCTGTATCTAGATAAAAATAATTCTAGAAGGTGAAATTGCAATTGAAATTCATTCATCATTAAAAATAAACATTTTTGAACAAAAAGTACACCATATAAAGCTGCTGCTTTGATATAATTTTTTTTATAAAGATTTGAAGTGAATTGGCTTTGATCGTTTTTGATTCTTTTTTCATTCTTTTGATTTGCTTTTTGATTTTTTGATTAGCTTTGAATTGAAGGAATGAAAACAGAATCTCTTGCAGTTTTTGAAACCATTAATCTTCGAACAAAAAGCATGTCAAAGGCGTTGTGATTATTTCTGAAGGCGGCTTCAAAAACGTGAAACAAAAACGAGAGTAGCAACTGATATCATTTTAGACATCAATTTGTTTTCCATTTGCCTGAAATAATTTAAAAGAATAAAAACACATCAAAACGAATTTACGTAAGGCAAACACTCCCATTCGCAATTACAATAATCATCGTTTCTGATTTTGAATAATCTCATCCAGCAAAGGGGTTAATTTGATTCACTGCCTTCTGAAACACACAGTAATTAAAGGAAAAGGTTTGGGATAAAAAAGATATTCATTGCACTGATTATTTATATGGATCAAATGCCTTTTGTAGGTTTTAGCGCATCAAAAATAAAACACTGAATTTTTGTAGCAAAATTAAACAACTAGTAGAAAAGCCGCAAAATCTTCTAACATCCAAATCAACTGCACGTGTTGTACAAATACTGATTTGCTGGATGAGGATTAAATGTTGGTTTTGGTAAATTTTTGGCGATATCACAATTGGTCATTAAAAACTTATTCATATATTCATATTTGATACGGGAATCGTTTTGAGGACATAGCATATTAGGTTATTATAGGAGAGTCGGGTTCACTTTTTTATAGAATGGTTCTAAAAATTCTAAACCGCGTTTTGAAAGGAATTCAAAATGAAAGGACTTTGAAAGGATTTTTTTAAGAATTTCAGTTTTCCAGGTTTTCAATCAGAAGTATCCAAGAGCTTTTGAGCTGCAGACTGTTGTATATCCGATCCATAACAGAAGTAGGAATCCAGAGGAGCCCCATCGCATAGGCTTCGAGCCACCGAGCTCCCCGCCCAAGATCTGAAACGAAAACGATATTTTTAAATTCAGACCATTTATCCTCGAGGTAAATGTCCGAAAAAGTCTGAGTCTGTTCCGTTCGAGTTCAAGGCTACCTAGGCTAGCGAGGAAACAACGGACTCAATAATGTTTATAATTTTTGAGGAGGATTCCTGGTTTTCCCGGGCTCCAAAAGGGTTTTTCTGGATGACCAAGTCGATTTTTCAGAACTATCAAAAAGCGTTTAAAAGCTGAGTTATATCCGAGGTGGTTAACTCATAGAGTAATTTCGGATAAGGTACACCGTCTGCTCGTCACGCTATCTTATTTTCGGCCGGATAGATTCGTGCAACTTCTTAGTCTAATACCGATCCTAATCTTACTCTTATACTATCTAGTCTCAGGTTGTTTAACTAGTCTCTGCTAGGCTCAATAGATCTAGGGTATACTGGTTTATTGCGGCTGCTGAAGTTCGCTTGGAGAGTCAACTAATTTCTAAGTTAAATTCAAATCTCTCTGGTGCTGAAATTACAAGTAATTTCAGCACTTACAAATAAGTGGGTTGTTAGTTAGATGGATCATGATTGGTTAATATTAAATACTTTACAGTGGTAAAATATCTAATTTATCCATTCAAAAAATGTAGTTTAGATCAGGTTCCACCCATCCGGGTTTTACAGAGTTTTTTAGAATAGTCTTTCTGCAATTCAAAGGATGGATGATGGACGTTGGTTTTTGGCGAACATCATAATTCTTCTGGGTTCTCTTGTCAGAGAAGTTCCAGGTTCAATCGCTGTGTCTTCTCATGACAACGACTGGGTTTTCGCAACAAACTCAAATCTGATTTCAGAATGGTTGGCTATGTCAGGTTTTTCTGTTCCATGTAGAGAACTTCTTTTGGGTTGACCTTGTCTGGGAATGGCGTGGAGATTGTGCGTGGAGGGGATGCCTGATTACTCGGATCTGTACGTATACTTGAACATCGAGGTGGTCATTGGTTTAGTTCAATGAAGTCCTTTTCTGCGAAGTCAAGTCGTACTCTAAACCCTTTGAGTTGTGATTGTGGGCGGCATATTGATTGTGGTTGGCCATTCTTTTTCGAGTGTAGTGGAGTCATTTTGTCTTTGGATGTTCGTCTTTGGTGTTGTATGCTGATCTATATACTGCAAGGTATAATTTATATTTTATAAAATTTTATTAGTTTGGTGTTTTAATTATGATTTTGGTTAGTTGTTTTCACAAAAGCTTTTTGTTTTAGTTCAGTTATTTTGAAGAGTTACTCACCCTTGAGTACCTCTTATTAAAAATAGAAGTGTGGTCACAAAGCGTGGATGTAGCGCGGTGGGTTAGGCCGGCTATAGAGCATGCTCAGGACGTCCTCTCTGGTGGGTTAGGCCAGGAGTGGGAGTATGATTTCGTGCGGTTTCTGTGAGAGGTCCTGTTATGTGATAACTTTTTATGTTGGGTTTATAGTGGTTTTTCTTATATTTTGTTGGTTGTGTCCTTTTTTCAAAAATCAAATTGTTTTTGGTATGGGTTTGTCTTTCGACTTTTTTGTGTTTTATTATTTCTTTCTTAGACTTTATAATAGTCTTCAAAAGAATAAATTATCCAGTTTAAACTGGGTTAATCCGGTTTGGGTACCGTTGGTTTCCTTTTCTTAGTCATGCTGTTATTCTATGTGTTGTGGTGTTTAGTAAGCTGCGTTGGTTAGTTTTGTTTAGTATATAATTCCTTTCCAACCGGGTTAAAGGAAAGTTTGAAACTTGTTATCGTGTGTTAGAGTTGTTGAGTGTGAAAGCTTGAAACTGAAAATCATTATTTAAACAATTCTTCGTGGGCGAGCTGTGCGAGTTTGGATAGAATTTTTGTGCGAGTGAATGGAAATATCAAAAGGTTAGTACTGCATTTTCGTCTTATCAATTTACTACATAGAATTTCAATTTTACTGCTAGTTTTGGGGAAAAATTAAGTTACAAATTTTCATCATTATTAGAATTACTGCTTTTAGGGAAATAATTTATAAATTAAATTACTACATTGGTATGAACTTTATTTAATTTAGCTGGTGCAAAAGATTATTAGAGTTTTGAAAAATTTGAAGAAGTTTTCTATTTTTTATTTTTCTTTTGTGTATTTTGCAGATCATCGTGAGATGAAGACAAAAAATCTAAATAAAACATGAATAAAGAATGGTTAGTGTTTTATTTTAATTTATTAGTTAAGAATATGAAAATTTATACTTACATGTTAGTCGTCGGGGAAAAAACCGAGGGGGAAGATGTCGTGGATTATGTCGGAATTTGTTAGTAACTTTGCTAGTATGCGAATGATGTTTTTAGTTTGAAGCAGTGGCCAAAGCAATTGAAGTGCTTTAATGGTTTTTAGTTCTTCAGTGCCAACTGCAAAATCATAAGGTGTGTTTTGGATGAGATTATATAATTTGTGGTTATATTTAGTGTTGTGGATGAATTCTAATATGGGGATTTCTATAGGTTGAACAAATTCATGTGGGATAAGGAAGGGTCTGGATTCTTCTGCGTTGAAGGTCTTTGTGATGGGACAAAAAATATACATTTGGGTTATGGGATCATAATTGCGAAGAATACCGTGAAGGTTAGTATCTTTGATGCAATATGTGAAGTTAAGAAAAAATGGTGAAGTGTACTTAGAGTTAATAAATTGAAAACGGTGGTGTGGTTGTCTTGATGGAGTGTGTAGATCAAAGTGATTTTTTATGAAGCGATAATATGTATATGTGTGGGTTTGTTTAGTGCGTAACATAATGTCGTGTGAGCAGTGCAAATCTCTTTCATGTGGTGCAAGGAAATGAAAGGTTAGTGAAAATAATTGAAATTTTTCTTTAAAACTTTCGTAAGCTTGTGTGTCGGTTAGTGCTTCAGAAATGATGTGGTCGAATTTGCGATCAAATATATTGAGTGTAAATACATATGGTGTTTTGATGAAAAATTTTTCTGTGATTTGTGGGTTAGCGAAACGGTCATCATCTAAAAATTGGTCTTGGTTAGTTCGGATGATGTTGTGATCGTAATATTCTATTGTAAATTCGTTAGCACGAGGTGCAGTGTTTGTTTTTATTGACTTTTTATACCCTATATAAGTAAATTGTCTATGTGATAATGGTGTGGTGAGTCGATATAGCATATCTTTATTTCTTTCTATATCGATGTGAGTATTAGATAAAGGTAGGCAAAGGGGGTTAGTGAAATGATAATATGATGTCCATTGAAGTGTAGGCATTAAAACGTGTTCATCTACAAAACTGCGTGTGTTGTTAGTGTCGTTAGGGGTGTTTAAAGTATACTGTGGAAATGAAGACAGGGTGATGGCTAAAAAATCGTTCGTGTTAGTGTGATTTGGATGATTAATATATTCACGGGCTGTTCCTGGTTTTGTTGGAAATGGATGGTTCGGGAATTTTCTTTTAAAAGTGCGATAAGCTCTATTAGTGCTATTTGATGATTCGGTGGATGTGGAGGATGGTGTTAATGATGCGGTATAAGCTGAAAAGGGTGTAGGGGTAGGTGGGTTTGATGATTCTATTGTGGATGAAATCTGATTTATAGTGGAATGTTCAAGGTGGAAGGGTTGTTGTTGTAGGGTGATAAAATTATCTAGTTCCTGGGAGATTTGGGGAGTATCTGGAGAATTGGATGATCGGTCTGAATGAATTGAAGAGTAGGTTGGGGTGACTTGTGAAGCATAAGAGGGTGTAGAAATCGATGGGAGTGGGTAATTTGGCGGGATTGGTTGAAAAGGGGGTTTTGAAAAAACTGATGAGTTGGTTTGAAAATTATTGGATGGAGATGGTTCAGAGTCTGCAAATTCGTCAGGGGTTTCAATATCTGGGTTATTGAGTTGTGAGATGGAGTATAAAACTGAGATATGTGAATTAGTGTCTGAAATCATGCCTGATGTTACATTATTGGTTGGGAAATCGGGTGGTGGGAAAGCAAAAAGTGGAATTATTGTAATTGGAGTGTTGAGGTTGGTCGGGTGGGAATTTGAGCGGTGTAGGGATCCAAGTTGTCGGCTCATCGTGGGCTAAAAAAATTATTATTTTGAGACTGAAAAGCGGTGGTATGGGGTTGTTCTATAATTTGTTCATAAGTATTATCATCTTGTGACTGGTGTGTCATTATATGTTGAATGGGACTTTGTGATGTGGTGAGTCGAAAATTTGGATTATGTGTTATTGCTAAATTTCGAAAATTTCGTGGGACTAGTGATAGTGGATGGTTATGTGGTAAGGGTGGTAACTGTGGTGCTGTAGGCGTTATGTCTACATTGTTATGTTCTTCGTCGTATGTGTTCTGTCTTGTTGCTATTTTTGTGTTGTATTCTTTTATTTGTGCGTCTAAAAGAATTTTGTTTATTGATGATGAAAAAATTCCAAAAAATCCTGCAAATAGTATGCGTGCTACACTTGCTTGTCTATTTACTTGTGTGTGTATAGCGCATGTATTATAGATTCCTTTTAAAAGCGAAAAAAGAAATCCTATAAAGTTAAACATTGCGTATAAAATAGTTAATTTTTCTAAGATGTAGTAGGGCCATCCTAGAAAATTGAGAATTTCATTTTTTAGTGTAACAAAGCTAAAAATATTTATAGGTGAAATATCTTGTGGTCTATATTTTTCACCGTTTAGATATATATAGTCTTTAATGTCTTTAAAATATCCGCTATAGTCTTGTGTATAAATATCTGCAAATCCTGCGGTTTCGGCAAGTTTGCGTAAGTTTTGGTCAATTGACTATCTTTGTATAGTGTCCATTTGTGTTAGTAATTCTTGGAATTGTTGTGTTCTAATGTGATGTTGGATATCGGATTTTGAATATATTCCAATTGATTGTAGGTCAATATTTGGGTTTCGAGCAATAGCTCTGATGCTTTCAGGTGAAATTTTTTTGAGTGATTGCATTAAAGTCGGATATGGGGTAAGAAGGTAATATTTATCTTCATCAGGGTTCAGTTGAACTACATTGTGGCTATTTTCTGA